TTAAACCCTTAGGAAAGCTAGATTATTAGAGATTGAAATATAAAAACCAGAATAACAATTGGATTGTTTGCAATGAGAAAGAGCATCACCAGTCAGGGAGCTGGACCAACTGCTTGGCCACGTTCTGCAGGGCAAGACTCTCAACAGGAGCTCTAGGGAGCCCAGAGGTCTGCCGGCCAGCCACCGAGGTCCCCTGTGCCCCCACACACTGTCTGCTCCCCGTAACTGCCAAGGACACAGGCTTTGAGCTCTGGCAGGTCTGGGTTAAAATCCTGCAGACATCACTTTAGTTGAAAAATGAGGTATCTCGGGCGCCTGGGTGGCTCAGTCGGTTAAGCGACTGCCTTCGACTCAGGTCATGATCCTGGAGTCCCGGGATTGAGTCCCGCATCAGGCTCCCTGCTCGGCTGGGGGTCTGCTTCTCCCTCTGACCCTCTTCCCTCTCGTGCTCTCTCTATCTCATTCTCTCTCAAATGAATAAATAAAATCTTAAAAAAAAAAAAAAAAAGAAAAATGAGATATCTTAGAGTTGTTGGCAGTTGGTTCAATGTCTGGCATATAATATGGGTTTCAGTAAAAGTTCTGACACCTTAGGGGAATGCTACACACCTCTGTTTAATTCCTTATATGGGCTGATCTGAAATGTATCTCTCTGAGGACAGTCTTGTTTTCTTATTCCTTGCTTTTATCATCCAATCACTCATTCAGGCATTCATCTATGCAACAACTGTTGGGGGCATATCTGTTTTGTACCAGACTCTGTTCTAAGTACTTGGGATAATGCAGTGGACAGAACAGAACGCCGATCCTCGTGGAAATTACATTCTAGTGGTAAAGGGCAGACAACAGACACATAACCTATAGCATGTCAATGCATGCATTTAATGGCATAATGCTTTACCTTTTACCACAACTGTTCTCTGAATCAACGCTCAATTCAATGAACAATAGTATCTTAGAAGTAAAAAAATGTCTTATATTCATTTTTTATTAACCCATCCCAATACTTCTGGGACATTTTTGCAATTCATGGCCAAAAGTAATTCTGGAGTTTCCCCTTTGTGACCCGACTGAGCACTAAGCATCCATTAGCCATTTTAATCTTCTCAACATGCTTCTGAGGTTTTTATTCTCCATGTGACAAAGCAAGAGGCAGCTCCGGAGGCTTCCCAGATTGTGGGAGATATTTTCCGGGTTTGGATTTGATGTGTTCTTCAGCCGCCCAGCGCAGACTTCCTCTCTGGGAGATACTCCCATTGTATGTATTTTTGGTGGTCTCCGTGAACGTGTCCTGCCTCTTCGTATGGACGCCAAGTTACGGAGGTCCTCCTGCTTCTTGCCTCTGGACAGAGGGCGAAGGCGTATGGCCCAGACCCAACCACAGACCCTCCCACTGCACACTCCGAGCGCCGAGGGAACGAGACCGAGACCGTGAGAACCAGGAGCCTGGCCACAGTGGCCTCAGCCACTCAGTGGGAAAACTGTCCAGTGATAAGAGGTCAGGGCCCAGAAACACATCGCTCCTGGCTTTGGTTTCTACCACCCTTGGTCCTCCTGGTTCTCCCAGCCTGGTGCTCTAATTCTCTGAGCTACCTGATATTTTTTTTCCAAAAAGGGGCGCCTGGGCGGCTCAGCCGTTAAGCGTCTGCCTTCTGCTCAGGTCATGATCCCAGGGTCCTGGGGTCGAGCCCCGCATCGGGCTCGCTGCTCGGCGGGGGGCCTGCTTCTCCCTCTCCCTCTGCCTCTCCTTCTGCTCGTGCTCTCTTTCTCAAATAGATAAAATCTTAAAAAAAAATTTTTTTTTTCTCTTAAATCAGCCAGAACTGGATTTCACAGCTCAAAACACCGACAGCTAACATATCTAGAAAGTGGCCGGGTCAGTGTTTGATTCTAGGTCTGTCTAAATACAAAGTCTGCGCCTCTCATTGAAGTAAGACAAGTAGGGGATCAGTTACTTATTCGACAGTTATCCTCAGCCCGTTGCCCATGTCTCAGCGCCATCTCAGAACCCAAACGTGGGACTGAATTCCGCCGGGACCTGGCAAGAAGCAGTTTTTTGTGGAGCGCTCGATTCCGTCATTTAAAACCCTTCTCCCTTTGTCTTAGTGGCGCATGGAAACTTCTGGGAGCTCTGCAGGATCCTCTGCCCCGAGGCTACCTACCTCCTGTCCCATGCGGATTATTTTTTCTGCTATACTATGCGCTCCCAAGTCCTGTGATACGGTCTCTCATTTCATGTCCTGTTAGTCACGGACTGGCTTTGAAAGGATCTCTGTAGGTTGGAACGATTTGGTTTTAAGCTTAGGTTTAATACAAGAATGACAGAAAGAAAGCAGACTTTGCTCCCCTGTAAAGAAGAAGAGAAGCAGGAAAAGGAAACAGTGGGAAATTACCAGCCTGAGTGTGTCATTCTGTTTTGAAAGGTCAAGGATGTCACCTAACACTGGCCTTGCAGTGAAACTTATTCACACTAATGTGTAAATGACTTATGAGAAGATAAATTGCTAATCCTCTTCAGTTTTTGCACGTTACAATTGAGAGTCGTGGTGCGAATGCTGGGATTGATTGCATTCATGCATTAGAAGAACGGATACTGAAACCTTCTAGAAATACCTAGATCACCCCCCTAGACCATTGTTTATCTCAATCTGCTTCCAAAAATGGAATTTAGCGATTCTCCAAGTTCTGTGGGTGAGAATATCTTTTGTTGAGCCCGAGTTCCTTACTGTCTTCCACTCCCTGGCTGCCTTTGGCTCAGGACCATCGCAAGGACTTGGAGCAATCATCTGGGGGGGAAACAAGCCAAGAAAATGGCCAAGTGGAAGGGTTTCCAGGCCTCTGTCCTTGTTCCTTAATCCCTGCAGCAGCATGGAAGTGTGGGGCAGAGCCGCAGAGAATGGGAGAGCATGTCAGTGCAAATTTTGAAATCTTTTCCTGTCCTCAGACCAAAAGTGACCAGGAGTATATGCTATACATTCGTTCATTTATAAAACAAACTTGATTGTGACTTTTGTATCACTCGGTCTTTGAGGATCTTACAATTTAGTGAGTTGGATGAGTCTCGTTGATCTCTGATTTTCCTTCTGTTCTACAGCAGAGTCTCAGAGTGCAAGACAGAGAGGATGTTCACACATGTGACAAATCCTCATTGAGGACCCCGGGTTGCTCACTAGACCCCAACACGGGCTTCTCTCTCCCACTCAGGAAAGTGTACCAGAACGCAATGGGGAGAGAGGGAGAGAGGGAGAGGGACGGAGGAGAGAGGGGGAGGGAAAGAGAGGGAGAGAGAGGGAGAGAGATCACTATGGGAGTAACCTCGAATCTAGTCTAAGTGAGAAGCCAAGTCATTTACACATTTTCATGGCTAACGAGTATTAGTAATAAATTATTTGCAACAAACTTCACAAATGACAGTCAGATACGCGATACGTCCCCACTAAAAATCACTGCTCTAGAAGGCCAAGGTAGTAATGAATATGCTTTCTGTGCCTAGAATATTCTTGGCACTTTTTATACATTTTTTCATTTCGTCCCAGCCCCCACAATGCTGTTTGCTCAACTAATCCAGTGCTTTCCAACTTTAGTGTGCATCAGAACTACCCAAAGGGCTTGTGAAAACACAGACTGCTGGGCCCCATTCGGTAAGTCTGGGGGGGCCTGAGAATTGGCATTTCCAACACGTTTCCAGGTCCCGGTGATGCTGCGGGTCCAGGAACCACACTTTGGGAATCACTGATCGAGTCATCCACTCATCATTCGAAAGGCATTTGTTCAGATCTGTCAGGGGCCTGGCACCAAAGTAAAAAGCTCAGTCAAACATTATCTTGTAGGAGCTGGTGTCCACTGAGCGCCTGCGAAGGGCTTTCTTATGACCCGATCTACGCCTTTATGACAATCCAACAAATCCTTCCCTCCGTTTCACAGATGAAAACACCACAGCTGGAAGAGATCCAGAAACCTGTTTCAAGATCTGTGGACTCCGGTGTCAGAACGGGGATTGGAATCTCTGTCTGCCGGATGCGGAGTGGCCATCGGACACCCCGCCGTATGCTCAGCCTCTCCCACAGCACTGAGGAGCTTGCACACTGTATGGTTGTCAGTCTTTTGCGTATTAAGACACACACACGTACACACACAAAACTGATGTTCAGAGAGGCCAAATAACCTGCCCAAAGTCACACAGTTTAGGAAGTATCTTAAAACTGAACCTCACTTTGTCTGATGCCACAGTGCTTTTCCCACCATAAAAACCATTTCTCCATGCTCTCTAGATCTAGATCTATCTTAATCAGAGCCAGGAGAAAGACTAGGACCCCCGTTAACCAGAGTGTGCAGAGAACGGCTAGGTCTGTGCAACGTCTCTGTTAACTAAGCTGCATCTCGTGCTTTAACTTACTCGAGGGTCTTCTAACAGCTGGGGGCTACTTTCCACCCGAAGTCAGCACAGTCTGATGCGATGTTTCCCTGATGATTCAGGATCCTGCGTGCCCAGAACCATCGCAGGAAGAGTGCTCGTTACTGAGAAATGCCTGAGGGTGTTGCAGAAGATGCAGGGGGCCGATCGAATGGGGGGGGGGGGGGGGCGTTACCAAGGAGGAATTAAACTGTACTCTAACCACTGACCTCTTCTGTCCTCAGAATGGACAAAGGCCCCCACACTGAGACTCATCAAACGTTTCCATTGAATTGGGTTAAAATTAATCAAGTTTACCCCAGTTTGTGGAAGCAGCTGACAAACTTCGTTAAACCTGAGTGTTTTTCTGCCTTTGTGGCTTAGTAAATCGCAAGGAATGAAGCTTTTCCCTGACTCCCGTGTACCCTTGTGTTACCCCGTCATCAGGGAGAGAAACGAGCTGTATAATTACCTTTCGAGACAGGAGTCATCCCTGCTCCAAGGGCCCAGACCTGTTTGGTGCTATAAAAGCAGCTCGAGGTCGAAGTGCAACTGCGCACTGTCCGCCTCGCCCCGGGCTGATACAACCCCGAGCGGCCCCGAGGAGATGAAGGTGCTCCCCGCCTCGGGCCTGGCTCTGCTGCTCACCACGGCTCTCGAGTTCTCCACGGCAGCCCCCTCCCTACCTGCAGCCACTCCCAGGACCTCACGGAACAGCTACCGCCTCGCACAGGTTTGTGAACCTTTACACAATTCCTCCTCCCGCCCCGGAAACCCTGCGAGGGTCTAACAAGAAAGCAAGGAAAAATCGTTATTGTTGTAAAACAGCTCATAAGCGCACCGGGGCCGAGGAGAGACTACCTCCCACGCGGCTAAGACCCATGTTGGTGCTCACGGGGGGTGCACGAGGCATGACGAAATGAACGAGTCTCCAGGTAGCTCGCTTCATACAGAAACTGAAGTGACTTGCAAAAACCCAAGCAAGACAAAAGAGACGAAGTATTGGAGGAATACTGTCAGGGGGAAATAAGGGCAGAAAAATCACCCCCGAGGCGTAAGTTTGCATGGGCGAGGTAGGTTATCAGCACAGTGCCAAGCTTCCTGGCGGCACCGGAGAGATTTCCTGGGTTCACACGTTAGAAAAGGGCTCCGGCGTTCTGCGCTGACTCGATCCAAATCTAAAGTGACCCGTTTGTCCCGGGCGCCGACCCGCTCCGCCCGTGAGAGCCTTTCCTCTCTAAAGCATGTTCCCAAGGACCTGCTTTATGGACACTTTCTGTATTTTCCTCTTTCTCAAAGATCTCTCGGAACTGGTTGGAAAGGATGGGATACAAATAAGTCACGTTAAAACTTTTGCAACAATTATGTGACTCAAAGTGATTCAATGTTTATTTGCTTCCAAGCGGTTTTTGCGTTTAAGAGAAGGTGGCGATCTGTCATCTAAAGAAACATCTCTAGGGGCGCCCAGCTGGCTCGTCGGCAGAGCGCGCGACCCTTGATCTCGGGGTTGTGGGTTCGAGCCCCACGTCGGGTGTAGGGATTACTTTAAAATCTGGGGGGGGGAAGTGTCTAACGACGGAACTCCCAACGTTAGTGGAGGTGTGTGGATGAGATGTGTTTGGGCCAGGACCTGTGTCTCGACTGTCCGTCGAACGGGAGCACATCTGTGATTGCTGGTCGTGCTTCAGTTGGCGTTCCCGCCCACCCGCTGCCCCTGTGGACGCACACGCCGAGTGTTTGCACACCCATCCATCCTAATTAGTCAGCCCCCCCGCCGTACCCGTCACTGAGCATAATAATATCAGCCCTGCTTATAGACAAGGTAGCGGATGCCAAGAACAGAGCTCTTAACCCGAACTGCCTCTGACTTGAGCCCTCACCGTTCGATAAACTAAATTCAAGATAACGTAGCTCAGAATTCCAGGGTCTATTTCAAACTGGGTTTCGCTGGTACCATGTACCTTTGGGTCCCTTCCCCCGGCATGTAATTTTCCCTCACCTAGCGTCACGCCACTCTGATTCAGAAACTGGAGTCGCTGTGACCTCCGGAAGGAGGGTGACACTGAGGCCAGAACCCACGTGAGGGGTCGAAGACCGTGATTCTAGTCCTGGTCCAAACGACAGTCCTCGGGCCAAACCGGCCAGGCATGTTCATCCGCGTGTCGTCTGCTTCTGCACCCCAGTGGTGGAGATTCGCAGAACCGAAAATACTATCGGCCCTTCACAGCAAGAAGTAGCTGAGCCCTGAGCAGTCTGTGCAGGAATGAGACCAGAAAGTCTCGGGAAAAGATAGGCTTGCTAGGACTGTTTGGGAACAATGAAGTGGCCTTGGGATGCTGGGGATCCCTTACGACTTCCGCCCCAAAAGAAGTCTGCTCTCCTCAGCTCCCTTACATCCCACTCTCAGAAAGACCCCCGTCCAAGGACCAGGGAAACTTGGCAAACAGCCCCTTCTCCGGCAACAGCCCCAGTCGCCAGCGCCGGGCAGGAGAAAGGCGCCCTCTTCAGCAGCCTAGCGTGATCCAGGCAACCACTAAAGTGGGTCCTAGTGACTGGAAAGAACTAAGGTCCCACCTTATGGTTTATAGAACTACAGTCCCCCCCACCTGCCGTGCACGGTTTCATTACCCACGGTCACCCCTGGCGGGAAGGTGGATGGCCCGCCGTCTGACCTGTCAGAAGGTTCATCAGTAGCCTCCCGCCCCGTCGCCGTGCCCGCGTCCTTCACCTCTCTCCATGTCATCACCTCACATCATCACCAGAGGGATGAGTTCAGTAAGATTCTGTGGGAGAGCTCACATTCCCATAACTGTCAGCACAGTACATTGTTGTGATGGTCGTCGGTTACTATTAGTTACTGTTGCTAACCTCTTCCTGTGCCTAATTTATAATTAACTTCATCGTGGGTGTGTACGTATAGGGAGAAACAGGGTTCAGCACTATTCGCAGTTCCAGGCCCCTGCTGGGAGCTCCAGATGGTATCCTCTGCAGATTCGGGGCACTTCTATACGTAACCACCTTACAGTACAGCGGATGACAATGCAAAAGACGCAGTTGAGTCCGTGCATTCAACGGTTATTTATGGACAGCTTCCTGTGTGTTATGTGCTAGGGTCTCTTCTAAGACTGGAGAAACAGTGAACAAAACCAGTCAAATCCCTGTTCTGGGGGATCTCAAGGTAGCGGATGCCAAGAACAGAGCTCTTAACCCGAACTCCCTCTGACTTGAGCCCTCACCATTCGATAAACTAAATTCAAGATAACGTAGCTCAGAATTCCAGGATCTATTTCAAACTGGGAGGAATAAGCTGGGAGGACATAGGCAAGTAGTTAATCAACAAGCACCCGAGATTATTTCAAAGTGGTAAGTGGTATTGGGGGGCAATGAATCAGGATGATAGTGACTGGGGGACAGTGGGGGACATTGTCACCTGAGTGGTCCAGGAAGGCTTTTCTGTGGAAGTGACATTCGAGGTGAACCTGAACTGTAAGAAAGAGCCGGTCACCTGACTATCTGGAGTGAAGGAGCCTGGGGGCCGCATCCGGCTGATGGCAGGAGCTGGGAGACCGTGTGCAGTGGGCCTGGCTGGGCCCCAGAGCCAGATGGCCGGTGGACCAGGGAGGCCTGGGAACCGGGGTCAGGATAATTAGCTTCCACACAGCCCTGTTCTTTCCAGAGAAAACGTATTGCTTCTTGCACCTGTAAACACCAGACAGGCAAAATTTTCAAATGCTATGTGCTTTCTCCCCAAGTCAGAGCACAATAGTCTACACTTAAAAAGATGAGCAGGTTTTTAGTTGACTTACTTAATGCCAACTTGTGTCTTTTACATTCTGCTTTGCTGATGAGCATAAAGGCTTTGAAAATGATGGACTAATAAAATGCTTAGTTTCTTAAAACAGAGTTTTATTCTATTTTTGTTTGCTTTTAAAAGCCAGTAATACTGGGGCTCCTGGGGGGCTCAGTCGTTAGGCGTCTGCCTTCGGCTCAGGTCATGATCCCAGGGTCCCGGGACTGAGTCCCGCATCGGGCTCCCTGCTCGGCGGGAAGCCCGCTTCTCCCTCTCCCGCTCCCCCTGCTTGTGTTCCTGCTCTTGCTATCTCTCGCTCTGTCAAATAAATGAATAAAATCTTTTTAAAAAGGGGGGGGGCACCTGGGTGGCTCAGCCATTAAGCGTCTGCCTCTGGCTCAGGTCATGATCCCAGGGTCCTGGGATCGAGCCCCACGTCGGGCTCCCTGCTCAGCAGGAGGCCTGCTTCTCCCTCTCCCACTCCCCCTGCTTGTGTTCCCTCTCTCGCTGTGTCTCTCTCTGTCAAATAAATGAAATCTTAAAAAAATAAAAAATAACATTCAAAAATACTCTTCCCCAAAAGCCTCACGTTAACTATGAAGAAAAAAGCTAGGTGGGGCGCCTGGGTGGCTCAGTTGTTAAGCGTCTGCCTTCGGCTCAGGTCATGATCCCGGGGTCTTGGGATCAAGCCCCACATCAGGCTCCCTGCTACGCGGGAAGCCTGCTTCTCCCTCTCCCACTCCTCTGCTTGTGTTCCCTCTCTCACTGTGTCTCTCCCTGTCAAATAAATAAATAAAAATCTTTAAAAAAAACACACACACACAAAAACTGTGGTCCTGGGGCGCCTGGGGGGCTCGGTCGTTGGGCCTCTGCCTTCGGCTAAGGTCATGATCCCAGGGTCCTGGGATCAAGCCCCGCATCGGGCTCCCTGCTCAGCGAGAAGCCTGCTTCTTCTCTCTCATTCCCCCTGCTTGTGTTCCTGCTCTTGCCTATCTCTCTGTCAAATAAATAAAATCTTAAAAAAAAAAAAACAGTAATATCAATACAACATTTAAAACAACATTTGACAGTTTGTTAAATTGTCCTTAAAAATAATATAAATTTTTATTATCACATTACTATGAACTTGTAATTAAAGATAATTAAAAACTGGAAGCTTCCAAATACAGACTGTTAAATTCAGGTGTTTTTACTACCATTTTACTTTCTGTGCATGAAGAGACTTTTTTTTTAACTAGTATGTTTGGTTCCTAACTTTATCACTGATTATTATTTCCTAAGAAAATTTTCATTTTTATGTTTTCATACACATCACTATAAGGAGTTACACATATTCCAGAATATAAGTGAGTTGTAATTAATTGCTTCCTTTGCTGGACCCATGGATTATTTCCATACGAATAGTGTTGCTGTGAACATCTCCATACACCAGCCTGAGCTAAAGGATGATTTTTTCAGCACAGATTTCCCAAAGAGCAATTAATGTGTGAAAGGGTGCACACATTTAAAGTCTTCCATGCGCTTAAAAGCCTGTTCACACTGAGGCCCTCCCTGGATCCTGACACTGGTGTGGTCCGTAGAACAAGTTCCAACCTCGTGCTGTAGACGAGTGCACGGAAAACCCAAGCCATGAAGGGCGTTGCCCAGCCTGTTAGAAGCTAGGATTCCTCACCCAGCGCCCCAAGTCCTCACGACTCCCTGCGGCCCAGCCGAATGGAGGGAAATGTGGAAGAAACGCCATCTTGAACCTCATGCTTTGAGACACACGTGACCCTGAGCTTTAAGTTCTTAATTCTCAAGAAGGATGCCAGGAGCGCACACTGAACAAAGAGCTGGAGTTGGGGAGCCAGGCCACGGGGTCTCTATTACTTTACTCTCTCCAACGCTGAAGGAGAATCAGAGAGAGAACCACGGGAGAGCCAACCCTAAAATCCTGTCATTTGAACAACGGGCAAGTGGGGAGCAAGCAGGACAATTCTGGGGGGTCCCAAAACTCTTGACCCAACAGCGTCAGGTGTTGAGCCAACAACACCCAAGGGTTAGAATTCACACAAATGGAACATCTAAGTGCCTCCCTGGACGTTTGGAGTCTGGAAAGATGTGAAAACCTTGTCCATAACTTTGGCAAGAAAGGTCTCAGAATAACTTGGGCCCTGAGTACTCAGAACATCTGATAAGTCTTCAAAGAAACAAACTTGCATATTTTACCTAAAGAAAAAGAGCCCGAATATTAACTGAACATGTACTCTGAGCCTAGAACTGTGTTGAACAGAACTAGGTACCGTTTTCATCCTTTTATGGATAAGCCTTTTGACCTGCAAGTCTGGCACCTTCTACATATTCTAAAGAAAAAAAACATTTTATTGTAGAATTATATATGTTCAAGTAGAAAAATTATAAAACATAGGTAACAAAAAAGAATCCTTTTCGGTTCCATCACTAAGATAAACCACTACTCATCCCTTCATTGATATTTTTCAAAACACTTTGCTATGACTCCGGGCTGGGACTAGGTTGCAGGAATGAGGCAGGATTGGACTCCATCTTTATTTAAAATATTGATGTTTTGTTCATCGTGGATTTCTTTGCATCAATTTTGATTTTTTTAATGTTGCATTAAGTATTGCTATTCTTGAATACTGAGTTTTTGGCGACACCTGTCTTCCTCGCCCTGGTCCAGGTTTACGAGCATACATCGGTGTGTGTATCCATACGCACACACTTTTCTTTACAAACAGGGCTTATCCTGTAAGAGTACTTGTAAATCTATTTCCACGTAATGTATCATGAGCATCTTCTCTCATAGGACCATATTTTGTAAACCAAAATTAGAACACAGCATGCATCACACATCACCTAACAAGGGAACAAAATACTTGAAATCCAAACTGTCTCAGCTCTGGAACATCTGGCCCTTTGCACTGAGCTTATCTCTTAAAGAGTGTAACTCAGACTTACAGCGAGTGCTCTGTCCTCACAGCATCAACTTGAGCAAAGAGGAATGGCTCCGAAAATGTCATCCTGCAAAAAAGATCAGAAACATAAGATGCTTACTTACAATGGCCCACCCAGAGCTGGGAATGAAACCGCATAGCCCCAGCCATTTCCAGCGCCCCTCACCGAGGCTCCAGGGCTGGGGCTCCACGCTGCCCCCTTCTCCTCCCCTTGGGTCCTCATCCCATTAAGATTCTCGCAAGGAACCACCACTAGGGAAGTGAGTTTCCCTGGCCAACAGGGCAGGGGTGGGGGTGGAGGGGGGCAGTGAGGATCGTGTGACCCCCCAGGAGCACCTTGCCCAAACAAGCCAGCTTGTTTAATTAGTAATTAAAAGCCTTGCTCCTTTTAATTATTTCCTGAACAACTACAATCCACGTTCACAGCAGAAAACTTTGGGATCTAGGAAAGGACGAAAAATAAGTTGTCACCCCATGGTATTACAACCCAGAGGTAAACAAGTCTGATACAGACCTATTTCTTTCCATTATTGATGTTACTCGTGTTCATACAAATTACATGCATATGTTAAGTATCAATATATCAGTTGACATCAATTTTCAACGTTAATTTGCACATTAACCTTATATTAATATACGTAGATAACAAACAGGAGTATAATATGTATACATATATAGGGTTTGATTTATTTTTGAAATTACGATTTTAATCTGTATAAAGACTTCACCTCTATGTTGTCATTATACTGAGTGCGTTATTCCATGCCGTTAAATATTTTTCAAAAATGGGATCTTAGAGGTCTAGTACTACTTCATATGAATATGTAATAATATATCCAACAAATCCCCTATTCTTAGATATTAAGGTTGCTCTCAATGTTTTATTATCTATTGTATATAAATATGTACATATAGAATAAATCATACACATAATTTATATAGAAATATATAGTTAATGTGATAGACAAATATTTATGTGCACCTTGTGTATGATATATAAATATAAAATTTTACGTAAAATAAAACATACACATAAATCTGCATCTGCTCTGTGTTTCCCTGAAATCAGGCGGGCAGTCGAAACCCCTGGGCCAGCAGCCGGCTCTGGTTCTCACCCCACCCAGGAAGTCCTGGAAAAGTGTCTTGAATGATCAATTTAGAGGTTTTAAGCCTTAATGTGCACATGAAAAGCTTATAATCTGTGGGTAATTTTACTTGCCTCTGGGGACAAAGGGCCAGTACTTGCCTCTGGGGACAAAGGGCCAGTCGCGGAAGGCTGCCCTGGGAAGACAGACAGGTTCAAGCCCACGCTCTGCTCGCTGAGCGATGGAAAGCCAGCAGGGAAATGGACGGCCGTCTGCCTTTGTATAAGATGAGAGGCTGCAACAGAAGGCCTCCAAGCGTTAAAAACATATCCATCTTGCATAATGTACAAGGAAAACATGGTACCAGTGACTGCCTTCTTGGGAAATAGACTAGTCTTGGTTTTGCAAATTGGGTCAAGATTTCAATGACAAATGCTCTGTGGGGAAAGTGTTCACATTAACTTCCTTCCGTTACTTTTTCCTCTTAGAATAACTAGTCCTTATAGGAAAACTGTAAAATGCAAGTGAGTAAAAAAAGAAACTGTTACAATCCTCACCACCCAGACATAACCATTGTTAATAACGTGGCATCTCTGTCGAAGCTTTATCTAGGCGAATATATTTAATATTTTTCAAAGATGGGAGTACTCGGTCCACGCTATTTTTAGCTTGTCGAGAGTATTGTCCCCTTCTCTAACCTGAGCGTGAGTCTCTCCCAGAGACCTGCCGCAGACATGTCAGCCTGCCTCTCCGTTCCAGGCGTATCTTGACAAGTATTACACCAGGAAGGCAGGGCCCCAGGTTGGCGAGATGGGGGCGCCAGGAGGCAGAGCCCTGGTCAAGAAGATCAAGGAGCTGCAAGCCTTCTTCGGCCTCCGCGTCACCGGGAGGTTAGACCAGCCCACGATGGACGTCATCAAGAGGCCTCGCTGTGGAGTTCCCGACGTGGCAAACTATCGCCTCTTCCCAGGTGAACCCAAATGGAAAAAAAATACTTTGACATACAGGTAATGAGATGGAGTCTTCCCAAAGTCAGAGAGAAACACCCTCTCTCTTTTTCCTTTCTTTTAGAAATCTCTTCCTTCCGTTCTTGTATACAAGTCCCGACTCATCACAACCATAAGGAAGGCTTTTTAGGGCTCAGCTTTAGACAGGGACATTGGAGGACTCGCTACAAAATATGATGTCAGGATTATCCTAATGACTGGCCATTTCGGGCATTACAAACAATTTTATCAATTAGAGACAACACACTTGTCTTTCAAGAAAAATAACCTAGTTTAGGATTAATAACAGTACCAACCAGTTTTTTTAAAACAAGTTCCTCAATCAGAAGGAAACAATAAAACTCACCTATTTAAGTAATTTTTTTATTCCAAAAATAATTTATTGTTGACTTATTAAATGCCTACTGTAGACATTTGAGTTTTGGAGATACAAAGGTGAGCCGATCCTGTTCCCTGACCCTCACAGCCCCTTTCGGGAGACACACAAGCAAACAGATCCTCGTGGCTCCCCGTGACAGGTGTGAGCCTGAGGGTCTAAGCAGAGAACCGTGGTAGCACCCAGAGGGAGCACGGGGACCCACCGCTAGGCCGGCTGGCCTCCTTCCTGGGGGACCCCCTCCACCTGCGGGTCAGCTTGGAGGCGGTGGACCCTGCTGTACGCCTGGGCCTTGCACCTGCTGGACAGATGTGGCCTTGCAAATGGGTGGCCTGTGCATGCATCTTAGCCCTGGGGCCTGGCCAACGGTGAGGGTGTTCCCAGTGCAAGAGGAGTCCGGCAGCTAAGGGCGTGCAGTGGGGTGGCCCAGCGGGCAGGTGCCGCCCAGGGCAGCCGAGAGCCAGGCCAGGCGTGGGGCCAGATTTTGCTCTTAGGAAGAGCACAGCTGGCCGAGACCTGGGGACGGGGCGAGGCCGGGCTGTTCCAACAGTCCCCGCAGGGCTCACAGAAGCCGTTCCAACAGTCCCCTCCTCACGGCTCACAGAAGCTGGTCTCGAACCTGTCTGGAATTTTGCAGCCAGTTGTTAACCGCCCCAGCCTCTTGCAAGCTGGTCGCTAAACAGAGCCATTATCAAAAATTAAGCTCTTCATCCCTGCAATTAAATAAATTATATTCATACACCAACCATTACGTATTACCTTGTGGATGTTATATGGAATCAAAAACAAAAGGTGACCACACTTTGCCTCCTGATCACTCTACCACACTTTGCGACTGTCTGTGTTCATGAGGCTGTTCACCTTTTTATCCCGCGATGGGAGCCGCGTGCTGCTACTCCTCTCTTCCAACTACCTGTGGGGCCGGGGGTGGCTTGAAATTACCACCAGGGAGAGCGGTGCAGAACGGGCATCAGCAAAGCCCTCAGATGAGAAAGTCTGGTCGCGGAGCCTGTTGTCAAACTGCAGCAGCTCAGCCGCAGGTCCTGAGTCCCTGGGGTCGAGCAAGGGCCCGGAGCCCCCGAAGGCTCCTCCAGGCCGCACGTTGGCGGCGACCAGCCTGAGTCCATCAGGTGGCGCTCCACACACAGTTATCGCTCCGCTTACGCCCAAGAAGGCCACGGAAGTCGGGACATTTGGGGAAGAAGCGCCCCATAAGGAGTTGAACAGGAAAAACGTATATAAATCCACGAAGTCTTTCCCTTTATTTTCTTAAAGTGTATCACAGAATTTTAGTCTGTAACGATGCGCAGCATAGACAAGGGGAATCCATCTAGCTGACTGGAGACTCAGAGAAGTGTGTTATTGTGACAGGGTTCCCTGGACGTCTCCAAAGCCCCCTCAGCACACTCACCCAGCCCATCCACTCGCCCCTGAGCAGCCCCCCTGCCCCCAGAAAGCAAGCAAGCAAGCACAGAACGCGCTGGACGCTATCCAAGGACTCAGAATAACCTCTTCTAACAGAACCCAGGGGATTAAAATAGACAAAATACAGCTTAGTGCTTATGTGCAGACGTTTGGAGTCAGAACTGGGCTCCAGTCCTGACTAATCATAAAATGCACATCATCATTATCTGTTAAGGTCGTTGTGAAGACGGGGCACGCCCAGGCCCGTGTCTAGCGCGGAGCATGGGCTCACAGAGTATTTACAGTTACCCCTCTTGTGTCCTGGGTCTCCAGGTGCGGACTCTGTGCTCCTTCCCTCTCCACTGAGGGTCGCTATTTACCATACCCTCTGTGGGACCCGGTCCCTGCCCTTCAGGCCCCTAGGATCGCCCCGGTTGGTTCCTGGTGGAGGCAGCCCCACCTCTGTCCGAATCACCCAGGATACCTGTTGAAATGCAGGTCTACGGGTCACACCTGTGTGTGCATTTACCCAGCTTCTCAGGGAGTCCTCACAGGGGCTAGAACTGGACGCCACCCGGAAGGCCTGAAACACCACTAGCTTTTATTCCGGAGTTCATCCGTGTAGCAAGTGTTTGCTAAGCACCTACAAGGTGCGAGGGGTGGATGAGGAGCTGGAGAGCGAAAGCAGGGCAGGTGTCTGCTGCCCGGGTTGGCGCTCACCCTCATCCAGGGTGCCGGCTGCGCCCGAGGTCCCGCCGAGGCCCCGGGTGGTAGCTCCTTGTCCCTGCCTCCCTCCGCCTGCTGTCAGGAAGCCCCAGCCCCTGCAGCCTGGGGCAGCGCGTCCTACCAGGACCTCACGAAAGACTCAAGCCAAGGCTTCGTCTTTAAGATACACATTATTTTAAGAACAAACACCCCCCCACCCCCACCCCCACCCCCGGGGAAATCCCAGGTGGCCTTTGAATAAGAATGTGCAAAACCTCAAAACTCAATTCTTTACAATTGAAAATTTTCAGTCCCTTTTGGGGAAAAAGAGGTCCCTTCTCCATTAAAGCCATTTTAGGGGAAATGGGTTCTTGCCCCTTGTGAAATGACCCCAGGTTATGGTCTTTAAAATTCGGGATAATCTCGCAACAAGGAGAGCCCAACCATTTCAGCGGCAGGTGATTTCCCGATTGCTCCTCACAGTCCAGTAACATAGCAAATACAAAAGCAAAACAAGCATTACCGTTTGGGAGAAAAATACGCCCACCGCAGATTCACGTTGGCCCCTCCGACTGTTGATACCGCCTCAGCGGAGGGCTCACGGAGGAAGCCGTGTTCCTTCTGTTTCTGCAGAATCTCCAAATACACGCCCTCCATGACCTCCGCGGAGGTGGACAGAGCAGTAGAGATGGCCTTGCAGACCTGGAGCAGTGCGGTGCCGCTGAGCTTCGCCAAGGTGAACGCGGGAGAGGCCGACATTATGATATCGTTTGAAACTGGAGGTACTGTGGCGCTTCTTGGATGTTCCTCCTGATCCGCGGGACACACGTCCCCGCGTGTCTCCTTCAACCTTTAATGCGAGCGATCCTCATCCACACACAGTGTGATGGGCAGGGCTCAAGGTCACGGCAAGGTCACGAGTGCGTCCCGCCAGGATGTAGACCAGGGGGAGTTCTCAGCATGTCTGGTCATGCTGGACGGGGCGGGAGAGTGGATCCGCTCCTTCCGTTGGCTAGGAGGCCAGCCGACCTCGTTCCCATGGCCATACTCACCGCTGTGCACCGCCTTCCATATCCGCCAGGAGTCCCCCACCTCGAATCCCCACTGAAGGAAGTCCACGCCACGGAGGCCCTGACCACGCTCCCCCTGTGGCAGGCTGTGGTCGGGATAGCGGCCTTGCTGTCTTGCCCACACCTTCTGGAGCCCCCAGGCCTGCCCCAGCCCGCCCACCTCCGCACCCCCTGCTCACCCTGGCAAGGAGTGGAGGCCTAACTGGGCGCAGGGCTTGGTGGCCGGCTCTGGCCCTTTCCAGAGCCGCCTGTCTAGGGAGCAGACCAACCAAGGGTCACAACATTCCTTGATTTCTCAGCTTCCAAGTAGCTGCGGGGAGGGCGCACCCCGGCCTCCTCCCGCCAGACACCCTTGCTGAGGGTCCCGGTTACTTTAAGTCTTGATCTTGAGTTGAGGCTCAGGTCCCGGGAAGTACATGCTCAGAAGCCAGGGGACAGAAGGTGACGCAGGTCCTGAGTGTGAGCCCTTCAGAGGCGGCCCTGCGTGTGACCTGGCCCGTGGCAGGTCCTGTTCCCCCCAGACAACAGGGCCACCCCAGTGACGTGGCTGCGCAGCTCATGGCAGCTTTGGAGGCCGTGACGTTGGCATCAGCCCCTCTCTTGATCTTGCCCGCTTGCGCCCTTTCCCCTCCAACACAAGCTGAGCGGGGGCTGCGCTGCGTGTCCCTGGGTCCTCAGAGCCCACCATCCAGGAACCCGGGCACATGGCGCACCAGAACCCTGTGAAAAACCGGGAAACATGGCTTCTACGACATGCCTCGTTTTGTTCTCTCTCCTCTTTTATCAAATTTATAATAAACTGTTAATTAGAAGCAAAACAAAAACACAGAAAGCACTAAAAGTTATGATTTTATAGACACCTTTGTTGCTTGCGTGAGCTTGATACAGGAAAGCATATTGAAATTCCAGAGCAACTTTCTCCTTTTGGATACGTCTGCACATTGTACTGCACGGGAGAAACAGAAAGCACACACATTTGCTCCATGTACCATTGCTGTCCTAGCTGAATCAGACAATGAATGCTCAGCCTGCTCACACACACACATTCCAGCCTGTAGGGGTTGCTTGCTACTTCTTTTGTAAGACATTTGTACACGACGTAGGCATTGCAATAAAAACAGTCACAAAAGGACATTTTTTATTTTAAATGCTAACTGTCTTTGAAATGCCAAATATCCCTCTTAATTTTTCAATGGACGATTACTCGTTGACATGTAAACTTCTTTTTTTTTTTAAAGATAATTCTATTTATTTATTTTTTTTTAAAGATTTTATTTATTTATTTGAGAGAGAGGATGAGAGGAGAGAGAGAGCACATGAGAGGGGGGAGGGTCAGAGGGAGAAGCAGACTCCCTGCCGAGCAGGGAGCCCGATGCGGGACTCGATCCCGGGACTCCAGGATCATGACCTGAGCCGAAGGCAGTCGCTTAACCAACTGAGCCACCCAGGCGCCCGACATGTAAACTTCTTATACAAAATGAATATTAGAAAGTAAATCTATTTGTATGAGAAGTGCCAACACTATTAAAAAAAAAAAAGGTGTCCATTCCCTGTAATGTGAAGCATGTCCCCAAAATTGCTAGAAGGACTCATGGCTGTTGGCGTTTCTCCCCACCTCTTTAGATCACGGGGACTCCTATCCATTCGATGGCCCTCGAGGGACTCTCGCCCACGCATTTGCACCTGGGGAAGGCCTGGGAGGCGACACCCATTTCGACAATGCTGAGAAGTGGACTATGGGAATGAATGGTATATATGCACAATTCACCATAACCTGGAAAATATTGTACCTTCTTCTGGGCCTCCACCATGAAACCCCGAGGTTCAACATCCCAAGCCACCCTTTAACTAGGGAGGCTGGCTAGGAAAAACAAGTAAGCCAAAAATCCAAAAGGGAACACCATAAGGGAAAAGACCCACCCTCATGTGTGTTGTAGACCTGTCTGAACTCTGGTTCATGCCTATGATCTCGAGGAGCAGCGACCCCACCTCCCCACGGCTCTCTTTCTTTACGTAGCATTTACTGTCTCTTACATGTACTTGGAAATAGGCTCTGTTCAGAGATGACACTTCATCTCCTGCGAAGTGTGATGGGAATGGGTTTTAAAGTCCCAGGATATCGTGCCCATCATCTGCAAGTCTTCCCTGTGAAATGTGTGTGGACGACAGGGGGTAGCGTGTCATGGCAGGGAACTGGTGAAGCATCTTCAGTCTAATCTGGGTCTCATTGCCCCTGGTGGCTCTAATTAGGTCCTTCTGTGTCCAGCATGGCTGACGAGGAACAAAAGGATTGATCTACATTTCCATCCTTCCCCACCCCAAAGCCCCTTCTAGCCAAGGGGGAGAGCGCTAGAGTATCGTCAGCAAAGCTCAGCACCCGAATAACCTACCAACC